TCTTATTTTTGGCCGAAACTTGTGTAGGTCCCCTGCATGATTTTCGTGTGCGTGGATTCGATTGTTTACGCATCGATTCCAACTCGGCCAACATTAGGGGAATGATGGTCTTTATTCATAATCCGATTATTTACTCACCTTTAGACCTTTCCTCCCTGTTCGACGACTCTTTCAAGGCTCTAGGTATTTCACTCATTGTAAATAATTCTCATTTAATTCTTATTGGTGCATACAGACATCCCAATGCTCCCGTCTCGGCTAAGGTCATCTCTTCTATTACCTCTTATCTAAATAATCATGATTACTCAATTTTGCTCGGTGATCTGAACGCTCACCACCCTATGTGGGGCGGCTCTCGCACCAACTCGGCTGGTCGCCTGCTGGGCCGATGTATTGATGACGATCATTTGGTAATACTTAATCCTTCCTTCTCCCCATCTTTTTCCCCTCCTGGTTCTTCCACCATCGATCTCGCGATCGCTTCCCCGCGTATCTCCTCTCTATGCGACGCTCAAATCTTGCCAGACCTTCTGGGCAGTGATCATTACCCTATTGAGGTTCGGATTAATTGCATGATTCATACTTCTTCAGTTTTCTCGAATAAAATAAAACTTACCAAACCTCAGTGGGATGAGGTTGTACAATACAACGCGTCTACATAACAACGCGGACTCTATCTCTCAAGATATCAACGATATTAATCCTGATGACCCGGTCACCCAATACAATATTTTTATTGACTCTATCGCTGCCAGCTATGAACGCTTCTCTCCTTCTAAGCCTTCTCCTTCTTCCAAATCTTCACGGGCTTCTTATTCCAATCGGGGCCCTCCGCCTAATCCCTGGTGGAACCCTGAGTGTTCAGCCGCGGTGAAGCGTCGCAGCAATGCTCTTAAAATCTATAGACTACACCCCACAGTGGATAATTACGTGTTTTATCGCTCCGTGGTCTCACGTACCCGTAAAACTCTTCGTAAGGCCAAGCGTGCCAGTTGGAGAAACTTTTGCGGCTCACTTGATGGCATGACTCCTACAGCGGATATCTGGCGTATGATCAAGCGCTTCCGTAATCGCCGGCTTGTGCCTTGCAATTCGCCTGCTCTTAACAGGTGCGCTGACATCTCTCAATCTATTGAGGACGCCATTGATAAATTGTGCTCCCCTTCCTGTCCTCCCCCTACCCCTTCGTTTCCTTTGCCATATCGTGGTAAATTAACCTCGACAACCCCTTTACTCTCAATGAACTTCGAACTGCTCTCCAATCAGTAAAATCCTCCTCCAGCCCCGGCCTGGACAGGATTAACTATCGCATTATAAAAGCTCTCCCCATGAAGCTCCTTCTTGCGCTACTATCTATCTACAACAATCTTTTTCGTCGCGGGGAATCATCCATTTTCCCCTCTCAATGGTCCCACTCTCTGATACACCTTCTACCTAAGTCTAATAATAGTGGTGTTCGCCCTATTTCCCTCACTTCCTGCTTTCTCAAGATTATGGAGAGAATGATTCTAAACCGGCCCTATTGGCTAATCGAGGCTCCTCCTTCTGACCTCTTACCCAACAACCAATTTGGCTTCAGGAAATTTCGATTCTGTCAAGATAACCTCACAGCCCTAGCTGCCAGCATTCACTTGGGCTTTCTAAATAAGCAAGCAACGGTAGCGGTTTTCGTCGACATTAAGTCGGCTTTCGACAATGTTCTACCTCAAATTCTTTTACAAGATCTTCGAGATTTAGACTTCCCTCCGCTTTTATTATCTTTCATTTCCAACCTCATTTCCCATCGTACAGTTCAATTTATTAGCCAGGGCACTATCTCTGAGCCTAGAACCTCGTTTAAAGGCACTCCACAAGGGTCTGTTCTTAGCCCTACGCTCTTCAACCTCTATTTAAGAGGTGTAAATGACGCGCTTCATCCGGACACTGAACTCCTTCAATTTGCCGACGATATCGTTATTTTCTCTTCATCAAAAGATACCAGGTCGACATTACAATCTGTTGAACTTTCCCTTCAGGGACTGGAAGTCTTTCTGCAAGAGTGCGGCCTTGAGATCTCACGGCCTAAAACGCGGCTCATGATCTTCTCTAATAAGAGGTCTACAACGCATATGAACTGCTCTATCTCTTTCCAGAATCAGCACATTTTACCCTCTCCTACTGTTCGCTTCCTCGGCGTGCTACTGGATCCTAGGCTGTCTGGCCAGGCTCATATGTCATTCATCATCGATAAAGGCAGACGCACACTCCAGATAATTCAAGCTCTTAGAGGTACTTGGTGGGGAGCACACCCTCATATGCTCCTTACGATATATAGGGCCTTGTTACGTGCGTCGATTGAATATTCTTCCCATATCTTTGGCTTGACCCAGAACAGTCAATCCCGTGCGCTGCAGATTGTTCAAAACCAAGCTTTTCGCCTTTGTTTTGGTTACCGCATTTCTACTCCGCTTAATGTTATCTATGTCGAGACAGTTGAACTTACCCTTTCCTTTAGATTCCGACTCCTTACATCGCGATACTTCCTTAAGATCTCCTCTGTGCGAAATCATATTGTCGTCGATAAATTACATCAGCTCTGTGACACCGCTGCGGAAACTAACAGAATTGACTATTTACATGCCCGCTTTCCAGCCGCTCTTATATTCCATCGTATTTGGACATCTTATCACTCCTCTATTGACTGTTCATTTACTTTACCAAACTTTAGATCCTCTTTCCGCTCTACTTCCATTTCTCCCCCCTATACGTCTCTTTCTCTTCCTTCAGTGGATTCATCTAACTTTTTTCCTATTCCACCCGCTCAGTCTTTTTTCAACCAGGAATTACAGCATCTCACGTCTGACTCAGTGTTATTTTACACCGATGGGTCTAAGGTTGATCACAGTACGTTTATGGGCGCGGCTGTCTTCTCCCCGCAGCTGGAGGCCGAGTTTATGTTCAGACTTCCGTCATACACCTCGATTTTTTCCGCTGAAGCATACGCCATTTATACAGCTATTACTCTATCTATCGATCTTAAATTACCTAAAGCTTCTATTATTACAGACTCTAAGAGCGTTCTCGAGGCTGTTAAGAGTTACAAAAACCCTTCCAATAATTACCTTATCCCACTCATCAAATCTGTAGTGGAGGAGGCCGAATCTAAGGGCATCGAAATTTATTTTATTTGGATCCCTTCACACAGAGGTGTCGAGGGCAACGAAAAAGCCGACCAGCTCGCCAAGCGCGCTATTCGTCAAGGTATTGAACCGAATTTTAAAGTACCTTATTCAGACCTGTGCGCGGTCATCAAACAAAATATCACGGACAGTGCTTACCATTATCTTGAGTCACAGGCGGATATCAAAGGCTCTTATTTTTTTTCAACATTTTTGCGAGGTCCGCTAAACCCTGGTATTACCGTATGAAAATTTCTAGAGATATCGTCATGATCAATCGCTTGCGCGCTGATCACTACAACTTAAATTCTAGCTTACACCGTAAGAACCTTGTTGAGGATCCCTCTTGTCCTTGTGGCTATCCTCAACAGGACATTTTGCATATGATTTTTGATTGTCCCGACTTCTCCGAGGGCGCACGTTTATTACATCGTTTCATCAACCGAGCGGTGTCATTGCCTTCGGGTGATAGACTAACTAAATTTGCTAGAGCCATTTCTAAGCCGTCGGAATGCCTTGGTAGACGCATTCTTAATTTTAGTAAATCATGTTGCAGGCAATTTTGAGCTTTAAACTTTCGCGCCTCCTTGTGACCTGCGCAGGCGCCCCGCTTCCGCTCTCGCCTCTCCTTTCCGATCCTAGCGTAGCTTTGCTCCGCTTTTCATGTGGCACACTATCGCGAGGTCTTGGCGCTGCAGCACGTTGCTCCTTGCTTGACGCTTTTGCCACCAATGCGTCTGAACTCATTGTACGCCTACTAACATTTTGACGCGATCTGGCCGTATCGACCTCCTTTTACATGTTGGAGGCGGGAGCCACTAATTAAAAAGAAGAAGAAGACTGTCAGCACTGAAAATGCGACAGTTCACGTTACGTGTACTATAGATTTTCAGTACAGGCAGTCAATTTTGGAACATAGCCATTTTGTGTATGTATACCTGCGTGATATGCGTCCGTCGTTCACGTGCTTTGCAAGTTTTTGCAAATTTTCGAAAGTTTTCCTCAATTTTTATCAATTGAGACAATTGAGATAAATTGTCATAGAGGTTAAAAGTATTAAAAGTATTAATTGAAATTATGACGCGCTGTATTGTACCAGAATGTACACCTGGTTACAATTCAAATAACGAAAAAGTACATTTCTTTTGTGTTCCACAAGACGAAAAAATCAGAAATATGTGACAGGCAGCTATAAGGAGATGCGATTTTATAAAATCTTCGCAGGCTGTATGTAAGAAACATTTTTTAAAAACAGATATTGTATGGCAAGCAGCTGGTTCTAATGATCATCCTGGTACTCCTACTTTTCTTCAATTATATAAAATTCTCAGTACTTTTACTGTTCTAAAATCCCCTTCTTATGGAAACTGCTTTGTTAAGAAATATGAACCACTCATTACCATAACTGATATAAAACATTTATGTCAAAAATCAAATAATGTTAAGTTATTATTAAAATTAAAAGATAAACTGGATTACGTTATAGATCAAGATCATCAAAATCATTGGATTTTTGAGGATTTACAAAACGAAGATTTTTGTCAACCGGAAATCACAGACTGCATCATTTATCATACGACAGGTTATTTATGTCATCATTTTTTAAAACGCATAAGATGTGATATTTGTAAAAATGCTTTTTTTAATCCTAAAGATTCTGAAGCATATAATTCTTTCTCTGCCAATAAATACAAAAGAGGGATTATTTGTATCCTCAAATGTAGAACTGTTCGATTTTCTAAAATTTTTAGAAAAGTTATTTTATAAATATTGTTATTATACAGATGTATACGACGCAATTTTAGAAGATATCTACACAGAACATATAATTTTTCCATGTGAACAGCATAAAGATATTGTGTTAGCACAAATAATAGAATTTTATGTTCTCGTGCGTATACGACAATACTGTAATAAAATAAATAATGAACAAAAAAAGTTAATCAATATGTAAAAAAACAGCCAAATATTATAAAATTTAAGAAAGTAAATTTTTATTATTTTAACCCTCAAATTCCACACTGCTGATGCGAATTCGCACCAGCAAAAATTTATCCATTGCTTTTTAAAAATGTAATTATTAATATTATTAATAACGTAATAACTATGAAAGTGGTACAATTAACTCTTAAAGCTATTAACTTCCATTGTTAAAATTATTCTGTAATTTTTTTGTATAATATTACATTTGATGCAATTTTTTGTCACCAAATATGGCTGGAAATTTTAACAAATAAATGGAATAAACAAATTAAAGCCTGGTTTATGCTTCGGCATTAATCTTAATCTTAAAATTAGTCCTAACTTAATCTTAAGTACTGGTTTATGCTTCCCTCGAAATTCAAACTGCGCCTGCGCATACGTAAAGAAACATAACCGCAAACTGAATCAGCAAAATGAATCGGCGACGTAAAATATTAATATTGACATTTGGATTACTACATTCATTAAATACATTACATTATATTACATTACATTACATTCATTACATTCAATTAAATCCGCGTCCGACATCTTTGCTCTTTCATTGGCTCAATCTTAAGGAATTAGGACTATAGCAAGACTAAGTTAAAAGATAGGAACTTTCTGGGACTAAGATTAAGACTACGGTTAAGACTGGGGAAGCATAAATGATCTTATGGCATTCTATGTTGCCAACTTTTAAGACTAAGATTAAGACTGAAGCATAAACCAGCCATAAATGATTAAATTATGATAGTGCGATATTATATCTGAGACCACTGCGACTCAGTTCAGCCGGTTCGACCTATAGAGCGCCTGGCCCTCTATAACCTGCATGGCCTATAGGCTACGTTTACACCGTATGCTTAGTCC